GTGTAAATACTCGAGAGGGAGAAGTTCAGCTACCCGTGGTGGTCGTGGAGAACACAGGACCTACACAGCCTACGCTTATGGGACGTAACTCGATAGAAAGGATGAAATTGGACTGGAGTTCCGTGAGGTCTACAAGCAGCGAGGACATATCAGTGCACCAGCTGAGAAACGGTGAGTCCGTTCCAACTACCCATGTTATTTCTGATCTAAAGAAGAAATATTCTGATGTTTTTGAAGAGTCCATAGGAGAAATTAAAAACATGTCCGTTGACATAATTTTAAAAGATAACGTAAAACCGGTTTTCTGCAAGGCCAGAAATGTGCCGTACGCTTTGCGACCTGCTGTTGAGGATGAATTAGATAACCTACAAAAGAATGGGGTCATCTACCCAGTTTCTCAATCTGAATGGGCTACGCCTTTAGTTGTAGTACCTAAGCCTAATAATAAGGTTAGGCTATGTGGTGATTTTAAAGTCACACTGAACCCGAATATTCGAACGGATCACTATCCGCTTCCAAATCCTGAGGATATTTTTTCTAGCATATCTGGTGCAACACTGTTTACAAAGTTAGATTTATCGGCTGCTTATAACCAACTCAAGGTTAATAGGCCTTCTCAAGAATTGCTGACCATCACGACTCATAAAGGGTTGTTCCGTTATGCCCGACTCCCTTTTGGTATAACTAGCGCTGGAGCGTTATTTCAATCAACGATGGATCAAATTCTACAAGGACTTGAGAACACCAAGGCCTATTTGGATGATATTTTGATTTATTCGAAATCAGTAACTGAAATGACTCAGAGAGTCGAAGCGGTGTTGAGGCGCCTTCATGATTATGGAATTAGAATTAATTCAAACAAAAGTGAATTTTTCAAAGAACGTTTAACGTTTCTAGGCCATTGCTTGGATCAACATGGTATCCACCAAAGTAAAGAACTTACAGAAGCGATTGTCAATGCTCCTGTACCCGAAAATGTGTCGCAGCTCAAATCCTATTTGGGGTTGTTAAATTACTATGGGAAATTTTTGCCAAATTTATCATCTCTCTTACATCCGCTCTACAAACTTCTGCAGAACGACACTGAATGGGAATGGAATTTTCAATGTCAGAGTGCGTTTGAGTCTAGTAAGAAGCTTTTGTTGAAAAACAACGTACTAATGCCCTACGACCCAAAATTAGAAATTGTTGTCACTTGTGATAGCTCGAGTTACGGAGTTGGCTGCGTCATAGCTCATCAGTTACGAGACGGATCTGAACGCCCAATAGCGTTTGCAAGTCGAACACTGACTAAGTGTGAAACCAAGTATAGTCAGATCGAAAAGGAGGCATTGGCCCTTCTGTTTGCCATAAAAAAGTTTCACAACTTCTTGTATGGGCGGAGATTTACCTTGGTCACAGACCATCGCCCGTTAATATTTTTACTCGGACCGACCAAAGCAGTCCCCACATTGGCTGCCGCTCGAATTCAACGATGGGCCCTTACATTATCTGCTTATGACTACACTATCAGATACAAAAAAGGATCCGACATTTCAAATGCAGACGCCTTATCTCGCCTTCCCTGCAAGAACACGGAAGAAGATGAAGGAGACATAAATTTCTTTTCGACCACTCAATTACCTATTACCTACAAAGAAATAGGATTAGCAACAAAATTCGATCCAATTTTGTCTAAAGTCATGGAATTCACCACCAACGGATGGCCCAGCCACGTGGATGATGCAGATTTAAAAAACTACACGGACAAGACAATGCAACTTTCTACGGAGAAGAACTGCCTTTTATGGGGGAGCAGGGTGATCATTCCACCTACACATAGGAAGGAAATCCTAATCTTACTTCATTCAGAACACCCGGGGGAATCCAAAATGAAAGCTTTAGCCCGTAGCTACGTCTGGTGGCCGAAGATAGATCAGGAGATAGAAGAAATGGTCAAGGAATGCAAAATTTGTCAGATGACTAGAAAATCAGCTACACTGGCTCCGCTCCAACCTTGGTCCTGGCCAAAGCATAACTGGCAAAGAATCCATCTTGATTTTGCTCATTATGAAAACAAAGAATTTCTCATCATTGTTGATAGTTTCTCGAAGTGGATAGAAGTGTTTTCAATGTCAACTACTACCTCAACTAAGACCATTGAAAAATTACGCCATTGTTTTGCGGCATATGGTCTACCTTGCACAGTGGTTACAGACGGAGGTCCCCAATTCACCTCTAGCGAGTTCAAGGAATTTTTGAAATCTAATGGAATTCATCACATATTTTCACCTCCTTTCCACCCACCTTCAAATGGTTTAGCTGAAAGGGCTGTACAAACTGTTAAGGAAGCATTTCTGAAGCAAATGTTACATGACTCGACCCATAAGGCTAATCGATCCCTACAACACCGTATTGATGCCTTTTTGTTTTCATACAGAAACACACCACATTCCACAACAGGAGTCTCACCATCAGAAACTCTTTTGAAATTCAAACCCCGTACCCATCTAAGTTTGTTGAAGCCACATTTGGCTAACAAAATAAATATTAAACAAGAGAAAATGGTGAAAACCGCAAACGCTCACAGAGGTAAAGCACGGTCATTTGAGGTTGGAGATCGTGTCTTTGTAAGATCTGTCAGAAAAGAAAATGTTAATTGGCTTTCAGGAGAAATAATAAAGGTTATAAGCCCTGTAACTTACTTGGTAAGGGTTGAAAATAGAACAAGATTTGTCCATGTCGACCATCTTCAAACAAATATGACAAAACCTGATGAGGAAGATGACGTGTCCCTCCGCTTCCCAAGAGAATTGTTCCAAAAAAGTCCGGAAGCAAAACGATCAACTGACGTTTCATCTCCTAAACAACCACCACCAGTGATATCCCCGACTAAGACTCCTATCATAATTAACCAAGACACAGACAATACAAGGCAGCACGAAGATAGTGCCGAGGGCATACGTCGATCGCAGAGGGTTCGACGAATGCCTCGTAAACTAGACTTTTAAAGACAAATTTTGAAACCCTCCCCAGTGTTGTATATAGACATAGAAGTAAACTTTATTTTGTGGGGAGGAATTGTTATAAAGGAAGATTTATTTGTTTGAGTTTTATTTTGGGCAAAGTAGCCATTCTTTAGTTGTAATAACCTGAAGGGGAAAATCCGTTAATGTGTAAGACATAGAAGACAATAGAGACCGAACCTACGCAGGACAAAGGTCAAGTCAGGATACAATACGTCCGAGATAAGAGCGACCAGTCTTCAGCAATCCACAGGTGAGGCACGATCGTAGCTCGTTCGTTTCTGCCCACATTTATTATAAGTTTTACCGTTTTTGCCTTAAGCATAGTTTTACGGATTAAATATATGTTTATTTACATTATCAAGTTATAACAATTGCAAATACTTCTTTTGGACAATTCAGTAACTCCCAATAAGTGTGTTGTTTAAATTACAATTTAAAAATTAACAGCTGTTTCATTAATTAGTATTATCCACATGGCCAAAATGTAAACAAATCTATGGAGTGATCTTAAAAGGCGTCTGAGTCAGAGCCCTTAGCAAATTTACTTAGTTTTTCTTTGGATAAATCATCTACAGACCAAGACCTTTCTTTGGACACCTCTACCAAGTTTCTACGCCCAGCCGTTCTCTCAAAATATTGGAGACAAAGTTTCCAGTTAAATATTTAGATTCCTCCATGTTAATTATATTATATAACATTACATTACATTACATTACATTATATAATCTGAAAATTACAAAAACGTTGTTTTATTATGCTCTTATAGATGAAGAAAAGTAGAATTCAATGTTGTCAGGCTGGTCACACAAACAGAAGCTTTGGATTTTTCAAAGCTTTAAGAACAGAACACTTGTCATCGTCTAACCTAAAATGGTGGAATAGTCGTGAGTTTTTGTCCGATAACAAAAAGAAGTGTGAGTTTTATCCGTAATTTTACAGTGTAATGTGTGTTTTAGTTTAGTGTTTTGTATTAGGTGTAATATCTATACATTATTTCGTAAAAAATATTTACACAATCATGTGTGATCCAAAATAGGTGTTCTTTTGTGTCCTATAACAGCTGATCAGTTGTTTTGTTTAAATTTTTCTTTTCCATTACATGTGAAAACAAACTATACTATTACTTATCATATTTAGTTATTCTTATTTAGGATAATATTATTGGCTTCAAAAAATGTATGGTTTTATAATATTGATTTATTATTAGAGGGAATTTTTGATCTCTCAAAGTGTAGTTGTAAAAATTTACGTTTTGCAATTTTTCCGTATTATTGCTAAGTTAGTAAGTCTAAAAAAATAATTCTTTTGTGTAGCCTATATTATGATACATCTATGTAGAGAAATAAATTCTGTACAATTTGTATATTTTGAATTCTGCAATAAAAAGTTACGTTACATGTGACTAGTTTTGCTTTTAAAATAAAATTGTTTAAATATTTGGATTGTTTTTAAATGTTACTTTTTTTCTAAAAATTTACCTTTCCAAAATTGGTTTTCACTACCATTTTTGAATTCTACTGACTATCACAAACAAAATGAATAGGCCCTATACGGTTTAATAGTTTATCTCTACTTACTAATTTTAGACCGATTTTTGAAAAACCCCCTTACAAATTCCCCAAAATAAGTGTGCCACTCCACAAAGCACATAGGCTACTGAAAATTGGTTTCGCAACTCCTAGTGACGCAACTCCTAATGGGGAATAAATCTATCAACTTTAAAGAAATATTTGAATGAAATTCGAATCGGGCTAATTTAAATTCACTTAGTAGGCGTGTTTCTGCAGCTGGTGGTATTTTTGTTGTTTGTTGCTAATATTGTAACTCTAATGTTAATGTAACAATGCCTATTACAATATATTATAGTTAAACATTATTTGTAAAAACTTAAAAATGTTTATTACCGAAGCCATTTTGTTGCTGTATACAAACTTTTAAACCCAATGTATTTTCAGATAACCCCCTAAAACCACTGTTAAACAATCAACAGACCTGCTGATAACAAACAGAGAAGGTGATGTAGCTTTCCCCTATGGCAGAGTCCCACTCCTCCACAGTGAGGGCAACATCTGTCTTCAGATTCAGCAACGTCTCCTGAAGCGTCTCCTTGTACTTGTCGTAGTTAGTGGGAATGACCTCATCCATCAGCTTGCTTTTGCTGGGGATCTCACAAGGCGACTTGAGTGTGGCAATGAGCCTTTGGAAACCTCGGCCCTCTACTATCTCCGGCAACTGTAGGTCTGTCACCACAAACTCTGCGATGGCATCACACACACTCTTGCTGTCTACAGGGATCATGAACGGATGCAGGCTCTACAACATAACCATTTCAATATTTAATATTAATAAACACCTCTTATTGGATTAAACACGATTTTAACTCATAAGATTTATTCTTTAAACTGTATATATTTAAATTTGACTAATATTTAGCTTTACAAACTGCACTTTTTAATCTCTAACTTTAACTAGAGCTTTATTGTTTAAATACCACAATTTTAACATAATAAAATGAAATGGAAGATTTGAGAAAAAAGCAAACATCCAAATCAAAGTATTGCTGTTTACAATGCCAGGGATTAGGTGTAAAACATCAAAATACATTTACTATGGTAGGCTACATATTACATACCTCAATGGTGCAACTCTGAGTCTCTCCTCCAGGCACCACTAGAGTCACTTGTTTGCCTGATCTATGAATCTGCTGTGATGAACCACCCTCATTTCCCAGAGAGTTTGCAGCATGGTAGTCCTCCATGATACTAGAGTTGGCGTTCTCATTACTCTCACCTCCGATTACCAGAGTACCATTCATATCAGTCATGAAAACATTGCCGACCACTTTCTTTTGCCTCCTATCTTTGGTCTCCCTCGGCTTCTTGGGAGACTGCGAGTGTTCTAATTGCATTAAGTCAGCTTGATGTTTGTTCTGTAAATGCATTCTCAGGTTGCTTGTATTTCTGTTGTATGATATAACACTCTTGCAGAGTAGGCATATTATTTTGGATTTTGTAAGAACTTCTCCATCGGCATTAGCTGGGAATCCGAAACACTTCCAATAGACACTTCTCATTGACATCGGAACAACTAACTTGTTATAGTTAAACACCTGTTTTTCCTCCGGCATTTTGTATATCACTTGCTGCTCCCCACCTGAAGTTTCACCTGCAAATGAAACTTATGTAAACACTTATAAAAATATATATTAATGCTGATAACAGAGCAGAAATATCTTCCCTAGTAATTAAGAAAGGTTTTTATAACTGTCGATTTAAAGTTTTTGTAGTAGTAACCTCAAACATTATCCATTGATTACCTACATTGTCCATCTATATACAACATCAGAGGAGAAAAATTAAGAACATTTTAAAGGTGGATTGGACAGGAGTAGATGGGATGAGGAAGTTAAAATGACATCTTCTGGTGTCATTTTAACTTCCTCATAAAGATTGCAAATCAACTGTCAATGATTGCTCTTGCTAGTACCGTCCAGTCTGTACAATAGCACAGCTGAACTAACTGCCAAGAATTACTGTACTTGTGGAAGGGAATGTTTTATTAAGTTAAATTTTACACAAGTAGCCTATATAATATTGTGTGGACTTCCTGCCTTAAGTACTTAATATTGTATGGACCTTAAGTACTTATTATTAGTAATTGCTATTACAACTTGGTTAAACAACTTCACCTCTGAAACTTCTTTTCCATCCAGTATCACCCAAGTTATCAACTGGAGCTTATTTATAAGATTTGTTAATAGAGCAATTTAGTGACAATTTTATTTTCAATGCAATGAATTGCTTCAGCTGAAATTAATTTGATAAAATATAACTTGATAATATTTCAAGTCTAACTTGTGGGATCGAATCTTATGAAGCCAATGAAGAGCTACAACCAAATTACTTGTAAGAACTTTGGATTATTATGTACAAGGATAGGGATCAGCTAGCTTACCTGGTAGATAGAGTCCAGATTAGCCTTGATTACACATAAAACACATGACACAACACAGAAAAACTTAATATTTCGTCCCAGTTAGGGACTTCATCAGAAGGGAGAAGAAAGAAAACTGGCAGTTACAGTTCAAATTCAAAAGTTCCACAATAGTGTTGCCAACTGTTGTTTAAAATTACTGTTGTTATGTACATCTATATACACATATACTTCTATATATACATATGGTGGTTGATTTTTATAAAAATGAAGCTAGCTGAGGGAATGGTTGGGTGAATTATCTGATGTTAAGGTTAGGAGGGTTTCTGGAATCAGTGATGTATTGGTAGGCTAGTTCCCACCTTCTGAGTAGGGAGCTGTTACATTGGTCTTTGGGGAGGGATTTTATGGCTTTTGTGGTGAAACATGTATCAAAGTCTAAGTTGTGGTTTGCTGCATGTATTGCAATGGGTTTGTATTTGTTTGTTTTAACATCCTGTCTATGTCCATTCATCCTTTTCCTAAGAGTTTGGGTGGTTAGGCCTATATATTGAGCTTGACAGAGTTTGCATTGTAGTTGGTAGATCAGGTTTTCGCTATTGCATGTTATGTGGTCTTTTATTTTGTACTCTTTGTTGTACGATGTGCTGGTGAAGGTTTCTGCAGGAATGTTGATGCCACAGGTCTTGCATTTGGTTTCATTGCATGGGTAGGAACCTGGGGGCAGTCTTGGAGGTGGTTCAACAGACGGGTCGGGTAACTTGGGATGGACAAGGATGGTTTTTAGATTGGCAGGTTGTCTGTAGACTATGGTGGGGGGTTTTTGGAAGAGATCTTTGGTCTGGGTGGAGCTTCGAAGCATGTTGTAGCCGGTTCTCAAAAGGTTATTGAGCCTGTTGAGACCTGGGTGGTAAGTAGTCACCAGGTTGACATCGTAGGTGGTTTTGGGTTTCTTAGGTGGATTGTCAGTAGCATTTTGGGCCGCTTTTATTTGCGAAGAGACTGTTTGTGTCGGGTATCCTCTATTTTCAAAAGCAGTTTGGAGTTGTTTGTTGTAAGTTATCAGATTCTTCTTGTCGGAGTTTATTCGTTTCCCTCTTAAGGCAAGACTGTAGGGTAGGGAGCGTTTGGTGTTGTTGGGATGGCAGCTGTTGTAGTGTAGGTACTGTTGGTGGTTGGTGGGTTTGGTGTAGACAGATGTGGAGATTGAGCCATTTTTCAGTTCCACCATGACGTCAAGAAAGTGAACCGCAGTTTCAGATAATTCCCAAGTGAATTTCAATGTTGAGAAAGTGTTTAGGCTATTTAAAAAATGGTTGAGGCTATTTTCTCCATGGGGCCAAATTACAAAGATGTCGTCTATGTATCTGAACCAACAAGTTGGTTGTAGAGTCTGTTTTTGCAGAAAGTCATTTTCAAGTTTTCCCATAAACAAGTTGGCGTATGAGGGGGCCATCCTGGTACCCATGGCAGTCCCTTTTATCTGCAAGTAGTGGCGGTCCAGGAATTGAAAATTATTCTTTTCAAGGATGAATTTGGTGAGGCTGATGATAAAGGAAGTCTTAGGGAGTTCACCTTTAGTTCTTTTGTCAAGGTAATGTTCAACTGCAGCAAGTCCGTGGGCGTGGGGGATATTGGTATACAGGGATGTAACATCTATTGTAGCTAGGATGGAGTTAGGTGTGAGCTTGTTTGTAACTGAAGAAAGTCTAAGAAGGAAGTCTGTTGTGTCTTTGATATATGATGGGAGATTTTGTACTATAGGCTGGAGATAGGTGTCCACATAAGCCGAAATTCTTTCTGTGGGAGAACCGCATCCTGAGACAATTGGTCTACCTGGTGGTGGGAAGGTATCTTTGTGTATTTTGGGGAGAATATATAATTTTGGGGTGGATGGGTTTTCTGGCGTTAGCAGTCTGACCGTTTCTGGGGTTAGCTGGTTCAGAGAGGCATTCCGTTTGATGAGGTCTTGAAGTTCCGAGTTATAGTGTTCTGTAGGGTTTTCATTCAACAGTTGATAGGTTGTAGAGTCTGAAAGTTGACGATCGATTTCTGCAACATAATCTGTCTTGTTCATGACTACGGTTGTGGAACCTTTGTCGGCTGGTAGAATCACAATGTCTTTATTGTTCTTCAGATCTCGCAAGGCTTGCTTTTCATCCAAGGTTAGGTTGGGTTGGGCAGCCTCTTGGACTGATTTCTCAAAGGAAGGATCTGATATGTTTTGGACTATGAGATTGATAAACTGTTCTATTGGGTGGTCCGGTGGTAAAGGGGGCGGGTCAAAGTCAGATGGTGGTTTGAATTTATTAAGCGATGTCATAGTGGTCGAGTCTGGTGTCGGAAGATTTTGATTGGCAAAATGATTCTTGAGTCTAAGGCTTCTTGCCATGGTCATCACATCTTTGATGAGTTCAAAATGGTTAAATTGTGGTGTTGGGCAGAAGCTTAGGCCCTTGGAAAGGGCCTAAGCTTCACCACAAAAGCCATAAAATCCCTCCCCAAAGACCAATGTAACAGCTCCCTACTCAGAAGGTGGGAACTAGCCTACCAATACATCACTGATTCCAGAAACCCTCCTAACCTTAACATCAGATAATTCACCCAACCATTCCCTCAGCTAGCTTCATTTTTATAAAAATCAACCACCATATGTATATATAGAAGTATATGTGTATATAGATGTACATAACAACAGTAATTTTAAACAACAGTTTGCAACACTATTGTGGAACTTTTGAATTTGAACTGTAACTGCCAGTTTTCTTTCTTCTCCCTTCTGATGAAGTCCCTAACTGGGACGAAATATTAAGTTTTTCTGTGTTGTGTCATGTGTTTTATGTGTAATCAAGGCTAATCTGGACTCTATCTACCAGGTAAGCTAGCTGATCCCTATCCTTGTACATAATAATCCTAATCAGCCAATTGGCCTTTCCTTAACTCCTAACTTGTAAGAACTTTGGAAAACCTTTCAGCAATGCTTTGTGTTTTGTAATTTGCCTACCTAAATGTAAGCAACTTGTTATCAATTTTAAATATGATTTTGGATTAACTGTAACCTATGATAGGGTTCTAAGAATACAAATAACATAACTAAAATAATCTTTGGCTATAAAAGCCATGTTGTGCACACATGGTGTCAAAAACCATGCATATGAAACAAGGATAATCTGTTGTTTAAAAAAAGCTACAAACCTTATTAAATTGAATGCATTTAGCGATGGTGGTAACTTTAATCGAAACGCCAATTATAGAGAAGTTGAAATGTTTTTGAAATTTATTATTTTTAAATTTAAACCCAAACAACCGTTTGAAAAAAATACATGTTAAAATATTTAAGCAAAATAATTGCGTGGGCCAAATATATTTTCTTTTAAACGACTAAGCTTAGGTAACAAATAATTTTAGGGTAGAACAAAAACCTTTCCTCAAGTTTTTAGACATAATCAGTCATTATATTAATTTATGTAGTTTAAAAATTGAATATTTTTGTATGAATATTGAGAGAAAAATTTAGAATGGGTGGCAGCTTAACAAAGTCTGAATAGACTAATGTCCCTAGGTGCCTTTCCTAGTTTCAAATCAAATCAAATCAAATATCATTTATTCCATAACAAAATAATGGTTACAGAAATTGCAATAATTCTTAAAAATAATGGAAGATTACATTCTTTATAACTTGTATAGATTACAGGTTACAAATAAGTTAAGATAATTGAGAATTTGTACCTCAAAAGCCTAATACTACATACGGTATAAACTTCCAATTTAAAACAATATTTCTTACAACATGACACTTCCAGAATATCACATTACCTGCATTTCCATTTGTCAGAGCATCAAATTCTATAGTTTGAGCAAACTCGTCTTCTAACTTTTCTTGTTCAATATTTCCAATTTTATCAGGGTGCTTTCTACTAAGATGTGCCCTAAGATTACTAGTAGAGCAATGGTATCTAATTTCTTTAGAGCATAACTTGCAGATGGCAACAATTGAATCAATCAAAGTAAAATACTGCCAAAGCGGAGACGTTTTTTTATCCAAAAACTTCTTTCTTGTTTCAACTAGCGTAAAAAAAGAACCAATAGGGAGAGTTTTTAAAACTTACTGTAGCCTTACTGATTAACTAACTTACAAGCGAGTATGCCTACATTATTGAAACACTACCGGTATTAACTAAAGCCTACACAACCATAACAAGATTTTTTGAAATAGGTACCGGTAATAACTATAATACAACACGAACACAGGTAGAAGAAAAAATAATATCATTAAAAGTTTGATATAGACTACTGGCACAAGACATATACTGCATCCAATTACCAAGATGTCAGTTGTATGCCAATGCCATTTGAGTGGTAACAGCAGTTTGAACAAATATCAAGCTAGAATATTAACATATAAGGGAAAGAAATGAGTTGGGAAGTGAGTTGGCCTTCACAGTATTTTACATTTTTTTATAGCTTATGCTATAGCCAAATTAAGAAAGAGTCAAGCCTACTCTGGTTTTATAGAACTACTTTAAAAATAATTCTGAACTAGTCCTACTGTAAGAAACTGTACAGAACTAGGAAGAGCAATCAACCTGATATACAAAACTGATGTGGATTGGAGATTTAATACCCCCGCCGCAGTAAACCTGCAGAATAAGTCAATTTCCATTTGCCTTACTAAAATATCTCCTTTAAAAAAAAAATGAAATTTTAAAATGTCATATTTTTAATACGTATTCAAATAACATTAGTTAAACGAATAGGCCTACCTAGGTTTGCTGCTACATGGAAGGTAATTAATTGTTTTTATAGTTAAATTATATAGTATAGGCCTAACATGAAATAAATAAATGTTCTAAATTTGACTCAGATATGTTTATAAACAAGCAAACTACAGTAGACTCCCTCTTATCCGGACACCTTTTAACCGTACATCGTTTTAACCGGACTAGACTCGGTAGAAGTGACATCTCTTTATCCGGACAATCTTTATCAGCACATCGGTCCTAGATGGGCAGGAAGTGGGCGGTACTGAAACGACCGTTCTCGTGGGAAAGATCAGTGACCACGTGTCTAAAAACACTGCCCTCCTAAATTTAAGTCAAATACTGTATGCATTTTATACGGTCTGTTTAAATGAGTTTTTGGGGACATCGGTTTAACTGGAAAACCCATTATCCGGACTGGCCTCCGTCCCGAGGTGTCCGGATAAGAGGGAGTCTACTGTACAACAGTTTACTAATTCTCCATAAGAATAGACCTAACATAGGAATTTAATTTACAGTTTTTTTGGAATTTTCTTCTTAAAATTTAAGCACATGTCAACGCTTTAATATACTAAATGATTTGTTCTTAGAGCTCTACAACACGGTTTGGAAAGAAAATTACAAAATATTATGTTTTTAGTGTAAAAATGAGAAAAATCCTTTTTTAACCCATAAACCCCCGTTCCCATACTCTGATCTTGCTGGTGTAGGTTGTGGCCTACACATTTACACCAAATTTAATTAAAATCGGATCATTTTTGCTCGTTTATCGTGCTAACGGACACATCTATAAATTTAAACGAATGGTGTTTTTAGCCTCTGGGGACCTCAAAACTAAAAAGCACATCGGTCCCGGGTCCAGGTCTTACCATGAGACCTACGGTAATAGCTTATTCCCTACATGGGAAATTTGCTAAAACCTAAGTCATATTTCATCTAACAATGAACACACCCCATAACTTGCATTTAAAACATTTATTTACATTTATTAAACTAGTCTAACTTTAACAAATATTAAACTAAGCTTAGCCTATTTGAAAACAAAGTTAGTCTATCAGTTCAAACAATAAAGAATTTTAAACTCTTAATTTATTTTTAAATAGTAGTAGCTTAAGTTAGTCCAGGTGTTTTTTTTAATTAATGCAGATCATTCTAATCGGTAAATAATATGGATATCTGAATAGGCCTAATTAAGATTTGCCATGTTACGTTAGGCCGTTAGGCCTACTAAACTGAATAGGCTATAGTAACAATTTTTTTGTCAATGTTGGCTTGAGCCAATATTAGTAAAAAAAATACATTAGTTTGGTCTTCCATAATAGTACAAGTAAGCCTAAACAGCATTAAATTTTTTCAAACAAAGTAACATTAACCCTCCGAGTGTTATGTGTCGATTTTTTGACACATAACACACTTTGTGTAGTGTTTTGTGTAGATTTTTCGACTCACAAACACTGTTTACGGCGAAGGCTCTATGACTGACAAAATCGGATTGAACTGGATCGAGTTAGGTATCGTTTTATTTGTCAGATTCTAAGCTTTCTCCCGAGGTCTGTCTCTAAGCGCTTTTTTTTCTCGAGCCGATCGTAATTGTAGCAGACAGCTGACGTGCGTATTTGTAATCAGCTTGGTTAACCTCGCACCGATGATTGATGTGTTTTATTACGTTTATCATTGTTTTAGTGTTAAAAATCAAAAGTAGTGATATACGTGGTGCATTATAAGAAGATTTAAGTGATTTTGAAGGGCTGGTTGATGATCCTGAAGAAGTAGGTAGTGATATTGATGTAAATTATCAGCCAGATTCCTAGCTATGGTTAGGCTATGCATTCTTAGCTAAACGCTATGTACTGAAATCTGTTTTTTGCCCATAACTTATTTATTTGCAAATCTACTTCCTTATATTGTTATATATTTGTAATCCTCATAAAATTTAGAACAAAGTGGCTATTTTCAAATATTTATAGGCCTAAAATTTATACAATTTCATTGAGCGCGAACTTATTTTTTTTTCAATTTTTCCAAAATAATTTTTATTTTTACTTAAAAAAAAATTTTTGAAACAAATATTCCTTAGGTTTTATGTATGATATTGAAGCCCATGATTTTCCAAACAAAATGGTATATAGAACAGTAGAATTAACATTGTTTTAAGCTTCTCAGATCGGTTTTAATTAAACCTTGCAAATGCGCCAAAAATAGGCGGACATTAAGGCCTAAACTATGGACACTCGGCAAAACTAGGGACACTCGGAGGGTTAACAAATATAAATTGACAAAGCAAATTTAGATTTCAAAAGACAAAATATTTTTATCCAAATTTTAATCATTTTCTGCCAGTACCTCTAGGACCACCCTTTAAACTAGATGGTTTATCCCACCCCCCCCCCCCCCTGGACACATCCTTAAATAGAAACGTTAGATGGACACCCATGGTTAACATAATATTGTTGATAACAACAATATAATCCAAACTAAGTAAAATAATAAATTTTTACCTGCCACATCTATAGAACCCATTGATGCATTTACTGATGCATTAGGATTTATTACAACAATTTCAGTCCCATCATCTTGTAGCTTCAAAGATAAACATTCTGGGTGCTTCCTGTGTAAATGGTCCCTCAAGTTGGTTGTAGAGCTGTTATGTCTGATTTCCTTTTTACACAGAATACACATGGCCAAATCATTGGAATTTTTATTAAAGAATTTCCACACTATTGATGTCCTTTTAGGGGCCATAGTTCTTTGGATCAGTTGTCTGTATCTAGAATAAAAATAAAGTCTCAATTAATGTTTCATTTATATTCCATTTTATAAAGATTTCAATTTTAATAATAATTACAACTAGGAGGCCATAGCAGCAATTGCTGCCCTTAACAATTGCTAATTTGTCCTTAACCATTCCCTATGCTGTGCACCATTCCTAAATACCCTCCTTGGTAGTCGCGATCTTCCCTTAACTCGATACATTTTAACACTGCATTACCATTCTAAACACAGAACACTAGAATCAAAAATATACAAATACTGTACACAATGTTTACATCAGCTGGTATATTTAAAACAGCTTATATGTTTAAAACAGCACTGTAGCTGTACTTCCATTAGAAAATAACTGGGTCCTTTAACGGCCTGTGGGGCAGAGCAGGGGTAATTTTTGACACTTTTGATATTTAACCAGGTCCTTGAACCTTAAATTTAAAATGAATGCTCAAAAGCCATGCTACCTTTTTCCTACCCCAAAATATTTCATGAGGTACGATTCGCTTACGTAAATATAAGTTATAGACAATTGGAGGAGGAGGATTCCTTTCCATCCAAAACCAAACAATGGTTCAATGTAATGGTTTGGGATATTTAAAATGAGTCATGTTAGATAAGAAATTATGGGCACGGTTCCAACCAAAGTTAGGACAGGCCTAAACTTACCTACATTTGATTCTAAAAATATTGTTTCCAAAACTTACTTTAGTTACACTTAAGCCGGAGTAAACTTAAAGCAGCCTAAATTATCAGGGATGTAGGCCTAACATATTTTAATTTTTAACCCTATATTTTAACACGTTTGCTACTGAGCCCCACATGTAAGAAGCTGTGGTCATTACCACGGACCGAGTTATACATTTTAATATTACACATTTAGACCGCGTCGTGTCACTTGGTTAACAGTACATGCAGACCACGGGCAAAAACATGTTGAACTGTGATAATTTACTTTGCAATACATTGTTTTTATAGTTTTGAGAGCCTTTTGTAGTGTCGCATTCACGACGCCCGGTCGAAGAAAATATTTAAATTTAGCCTATCATAGGTACTAAAGGGTGTTTATAAAAGAACTCCTTGGTTTCAAAAAATCATAATTAACGGAACTTCAACAAAGCATGCGTTTTTCATAATTGTGTTTGCTATATCATTGTTAAGTTTTATAGCGAGGATATTAGGTTGGCAGTTGGCATCCCTGCATGACCTTGACCCGCACATGCAGGGAGGAGGTATAGTCCAGTCAACCTGTGTTTTTAGGTGGAAAAAATTAGTAACAAGCTGATTTTTTCTCCATCGACTACTACCATTTAGAGAAGTGTTCAGCCAAAAGTCCCCACCCCTACCCCCCTTGCTTTCCCCCCCCCTCCCCCCCCCCCCCGCCTAAACATATAAAGTGCAAGGGTTTCGTAAATCACGTTTTTCTCGATTGTTTAACAACGTATTGAATTGCAATTAGTTTTATTGTCTTTGCTATAAAATTTCCTACAATCCTGTTCTGTTAACTTTTGTCGTAGCTCTTACCGTTTGTTCGTTATTTATATAAAAACTAGAGGTCGTCCAGTGGTCGAAACTCGACCAAAAATATTTAATGTACAGACTTCTTTATTTTCATTCCACACTTTGAATAGAACATGTGATTGGAGTTTCTTCCATTTGTTTTGATTTTCTGTTTATATTTCGTTGTTATTTCGTCACCAGCATGGCAACTCATAATATCCGTTAAATTTTTAAAAATTTTAAATTCATTTTTTGTGCTTATTTTTGAGCCTATTTTAATTTATAAAGGGATTCTGCACACCTACAGGAAAATAGCTTTCTAACAGTATGCGTAGATTTTCCCTACGATGCACACGAGCTGAGAAAAAAGGTTTTAAAGAAACATGCTTGCCTATTAATATATACGAGTAATGTCCAGTGGTCGAAACTCGACCAAAAATATGTAATGTACTCACTTATGTTAATGTTTCACCCCACACTGTAAATAAAACATGTGATTGGAGTTTCTTCCATTTGTTTTGATTTTCTGTTTATATTTCGTTGTTATTTCGTCACCAGCATGGCAACGCATAAGATCCATGTAAATTTTTTTAAATTTTTAAACTCATTTTTTGCGCTTATCTTTGAGCCTATTTAAATTTATAAAGGGATTCTGCACACCTACAGGAAAATAGCTTTCTAACGGTATGCGTAGATTTTCCCTACGATGCACACGAGCTGAGAAAAAAGGTTTTAAAGAAACATGCTTGCCTATTAATATATAGATAGATGTAAATATTTATATAGTTTTGAACAGATAATTTTATTTTTATCGCCTTAACTTTTTTTGCTGACGTTTTATTATGAAAATATGTTTTACAAAAGTTGTAGCTGCTTTCATTAGCTTTAAAATTATGTATAATAGTACTTACTTTAAAATGAGAATTCTGTGAGATTCAGCCGGCGTAATGCAGTATGTGTACTCAGTCTCAGTTATAGTGTTTGATCTAGGTGGGGCTGACGCGGCGTTGCAATATTGTCATTGTTGTTATGTAGAGGGGTTTTCCCTTAGGGTACACTATTGAATTATCTCTAAAAAACAATCAAAGCAAACCCCATTTACAGTTAATAAAATGTATTTCAATAGTTTATTATTTAAAAAGCATGTAATCATTTTTATGTTTGTAATATTTTTAAAGGATGCTATCTTTGAACATAATAATTGCATTGTCATGATTTAAAGTAAAAATGTAACATATATCGAACTGCAATTTTTTTAGTCTCCTTTTGTTATAATACTTCCTACAATCATGCCCAGTTAAATATCGTTGTAACTGTTACCGTTTGTTTGTTATTCGTAGAATAATGTAAAGATTAATATTTTATGGAGTTGTAATTTCATTTTTTTGCAAAACTTTTAGAGCCGTCATTTTATGAAAGTATTTTTTAAACAAAATTGTAGCTGCTATCAGCTTTAAAATGATATATTGAAACGTGTACTTTATGGTGGCGTTATATATCAACCGTGAATGCATGGTGTGCACTATTTTTATGTGGCGCTCCATAGATGGTCCGTTACCGCACTCGTGCACGATGTTTCTACCCATTATTGTATTTTTCTTGATTTTTAAAATTTTAAGACACCAAAAAACAATAGGAAAGCAGTCGATTTAGTTCATACTTTGTAATTCAACTACCAAACAAACTATAAGTAAATGTATTTAAAATATGAAAAAATAGGTGATTAGGTTAGGTCCAGGCTAGAAGGATTTGTTTTGCCTTATTATACTAGGTTTTTGAAACAACCCATTCAATCACCCAATACGTGTGCAGGTCGTGGTAGACCAGTTAACGATTTATTAAAAGAATCATTCATAAAAGTTTGCGACTTCATTGAGGAAAATGATGATTGCCAGCATAGTATTCCTAACCTTTTGCAATTGATGAAAAATATATCAGGCAGAGACCAGGTTTATGAAACGAAGTACTTCAAAACATTATTACTAAATAACTTGGTGAAAGACTACGAACATAAAAATAAATCCTCCATAGTTTGTTTAATAGATAGGGTGGACAAGATTTTCTCTGAAACTTGGTACTCTTAAAATAAAAGGCATAACGATGATAAGATTAAGAGAATATTTTCTACAGCTGCGGCTTTGATAAGACAAGAAATTAAAAACAGAGTGTATGATGACTCGTCTTACCCCAGTGTTGAAAATATAAGATCAGGGGGGAAAGAAGTTGTAAGGAAAAAATTGCAATTCGATGTATGAGTAATTCTTAACTTCAAATCATGATAATGGAATTATATTGTTCAAAAATAACATCCTATCAAATTATTACGTACATATCATGCTTTTTAAAAAATACAAAGGATAGGAATAAATTTTATTAACTAACTGTATGGGTTTTGTTTTGGTTGTTTTTTTTTTAGCAAATTCCTCATATAGGGAATAAGCTATTACCGTAGGTCTTATAATAAGACCTAGACCCGGGCCCGATTTATTTTTTTGTTTTGAGGCCCTCAGAGGCCGAAAACACCCTCCGCCGTTCAAATTCATAAATAAAATGTAAAATTTAAGATTATATATACATAAGAGTCCGTTAGGATGATAACTCAAGCAAAAAAGATCCGATTTCTTGATGAAATTTGGTACAAACGTATCAATTTACTTTTATTCGAACGAGTTTGCGAACCAGCATGATCGGACTATGGGAATAGGGGTTTATGGGAGTTTTTATGGGGTAAAAGTTGGTTATTCGCATTTCCCACCTAAAACCACAAAATATTACAGTTTCTATCCAAACCATTTTGTAGAGCTTAAAAAAATAAATATTTTTTATTATAACGGTTACGGAGATAATTCATACAAATTTAAATTTAAAATTTCCATTTTATTCTTTTGGAGAATAAAAAAACCGTTGTAGTTTGCTTGTTTATAGATATTTTAATCAAATTTATTTATTTCATAAAAAGCTACTAGTAGTATTAAGGTTTCAATAAATAAAGAACATTCTTCAATAACTTGGCTGTGTAGCAGCAAACCTAATTATTCATTAAAATAATCTGATCAGGAAATAGTTTTGACGATTTTAAGGGAATGTTTTAGTAAATATCCAGCCAGGTAAATGAAAATTTGCTTAGTCGCAGGTTTTCTGCGGTGGGGTATGGAGATAATGCAATAGTGTACCTTAAGTTAAAAAAAAAACCCTCTCCATATTACAACAATCATAGTATTGCAACACCGCGCCAGCCACACTTGGCTCACTGATTGAGTACGCAAACTACATTACACCGGCTGAATCTTGCAGGATTCTCATTAAAGTAAGTACTATTATACATCATTTTAAAGCCAATGAAAGCAGCTACAACTTTTGTAAAAAAACATATTTTCATAAAACGTCAGCAAAAAAAGTTGATGCGACAAAAATAAAATTATATGTTCAAAAATATATAAATATTTACATTTTTATATAAATAGGTAACGAACAAACTGTAAGAGCTACGACGAAAGTTAACTGAACAGGATTGTAGGAAATTTTATAACAAAGACAGTAAAACTAATTGCAATTCAATATGTCATTTAACAATCGAGAAAAACGTTATTTACAAAAACCCTTGCACTTTATATGTTTAGGGGGCGTAGGGGGGGAAGCAAGGGGGGTAGGGGTGGGGACTTTTGGCTGAACACTTCTCTAAATGGTAGTAGTCGATGGGAAAAAAATCAGCTTGTTACTAATTTTTTCCTTCAACCGGTGTTTTACGACACAGGTTGACTGGGCTAGTAGGTGGCCTGGCGGCCGACTAGGGGGGACTATGGGATGATGCGGGCCGATCACATGGCCAACCAGAAGCCCAGATATGACTCCACTAGATTGTTTTTAAGAACACTGTGTACTCTAAGAAAATTTGTGACATTGGAGATCTGAGGGAGAGGATAATCGCAGCCATGAAGACCCCCATACACAGTCCGACATGTCCTGTCTGCGGTCTGTCTGTCTGCTACCGCATATGATCCGACCAGTGTTCCGACTGCGTAATCTTCGTGTAGCTTCAATTGTATTCGGTCAGCATCGGGCCTGTCACACTTCAGTTTGAGACGGAATGGCTGTACGATGGTTTTAAGATTTGGTTTAGACACATCACTAAACAACATAATAAATTAGCACAAAGTTCTGACAAACAAAATTAGCCTAAAAATAAGTTAAGTTAGCTGAACTTACAAGTTGGCATTTTTGTACAATTTTGTACTTGCACAACAATATCCAACTTTAAACAGCAACTTGAACATAGAATTACCTTCAATCATTGAAATGCAAGATTTTCCCTACAGTAGGTCTACAGTCCAGACCTTGCTTTTACACCGCGTAACTTACACGAGGCCGGCAGAGCAGGCAAGTTTATGGGGCAGATTACATGCATCTACAATGTACCGCAACTATTTCAAGGTAAAGTTACCTGAGGCAAGACTTGGATAAGTTATTTAACAGCACAGAGTTTTAATGAAGACGAGGCGCTCAAGTATTGTGTGACCAAGTGACTGAGATTTAGCTGGCAGAATTCTACTAAGTTAAGTTACAAAGGAATTTCAAAGCTCGTGTACAACTATTATAACTTAAGTTAAGTGCCTTTAGAGACTAGGTCAATGTAGAAAAGTAGTAGTGACTTAACTTAAGTTATTTGCAAGCATTTTAGAAATCGTAGGCTGCCCCTAGCCTAAGTTATTTAACTTAGGCCTAGTTTGAAGTTTTTCACCAGTGTTTGATTTGTACAAAAACAGTCTGGAGAAAACATAAGTTAAGTTAACTTAGGCCTATTTGTTAACAATACGGTCCATTAAGTAAGTTAAGCCTATGGAAGGCAAAAATTAGTGAAAGGCCAATGTACGTTGTGAGTTAACTTAAGTTAGTTATAGGCTACATACAAACAAGTTCATACAAATTTAGACTTGTTTTCAAAAGCCTAGGCCTACAATGAAGAAAAATTCTTGATTCCTAAATTTGGAGCATTTTAGGCAAGTTAAGTTAACTCATCAATATAGTAAGTTAGACCTAACTTAAGTTAGAAAACTTATTACTCTTTGAATATTAATCGTGTGTTATAATATAATCTGCCTAAGAACCTACCCTATATACTGCCCTAGCCTGGATAAAAACAACACTAAGATTAAGTTAACTATGACTGAGACATGCTTGGCTTCCACCAAAAGCACTCGTAAGTTATTTCTAAAGTAGAGAATCAGAATAGCCTAATTTAAAATATTTAGCCTACATCGATTGATAAAAACAGCTAAATTATTAATCATGAATTTTTCAAACTAATGATTACCCGCTTACAGTTTAGATCAATCCGATTTCGATTTCAAATAATACTTTTATCAATCACTATCGAGCATATATCCGAACTATCGCAATGAACGCGGCACGACCGCACTCACTAGTCAGTCACTAGGTATCGCAAAATGGCGATGACGATGTGATGCGATGTGGATGTGATGGAGATGGGCGAGAACGAGAACGAGAGAGAACGAACAGGGAGGGGCGGCAGAACAAAACGATAATCAGAAGAACCGAAAACGAGAAGGAACCTAGTCGGCTGCTATTGGTCGTTGATGACGCATCCGATATCTAGTCACCAAGTAAATCGACTTTTATTCTAGCATAGAATAATGCAATGAGCGGTATTTTTTTAAATAATATAATGATAAATTAATATATAATTCTTTATTAATCTTATCATTGACTATTGGCAAAGGTGCATACAAAAGAAACATCTAGCATAATAATTGACTTGAGCTACGCGCGCACTACGGCGCGGCACGGCACGGACGGGCGGGACGGGACATCCGCACATCCGCCATTTAGGACAGTTTACAGTCTGTGAGCTAAAAATTGTGAGTAAAGATGGATGTAGATAAAGTGGTGATAGTAGGTTTAATTTTAGCAGAGGAAGAGGAGACAAGAAGGTGCAAGCAAAGATTTGAGATACACCACATAAACAAGAAAAGATTAAGTTTTGGAGAGTTCCACACCCTGTTTCCTGATCTTGTAGAAGGATTATGTGTAAAACTTACCTGATTGTTTCATAATAGATCATATTTATGCCCATATATTGTCACGCCGGACGTTATTAAAATATTCCGGATGTCGCATGTTGTACAGTTTCGGGTATTTCTCAACGAGAAAATTCAACTTACTAAAATCTATGTTTGCAACACACGAAAACACTGCTACTTTGACAGAGATCAGTTGAGAATGGCGGATGTCCCGTGCCGCCCGCCCGGTCGGTGTGCAGTGCTCCCGGTCGGTACGGGCGGTACGGGCGTCACGGCAGCTCGGAAATGTCCTAGATTTCTGTCAGTAGTGGTGAACCCACAAAGATACCTCACTTTCGGCGTTTTAGAGGCACTTTTAGGGCACTTTTTATAGGGGAAAAATGAGAAAAAAATGGAAGAGCTTTTTTTGGCCACTTTTTTTAAAGACCCAGCTCTCGACCTATACACCCCTATATAAATTTTCTACTTTTGTTAATACTAAAAATCACGTCTGGAAATGGTGAGCTTTTTTTGGCCACTTTTTTAAAGACCCGGATCTCGTCCAATACAAGCCCATACAAATGTTCAAACTCCATTAAAATTTCAAATCCACATCCATTCCCATGTATATTTTCAAAATCATGTGAGGTTTGTGTGTTCGGCTCATGACGTGCTCCCTTGGACATCCTTAGTGGAAATCCATGAGTTCTGGCTACTTGGGAACCCAAGCCATTTGACATACAATGAATCACCCTTTCTCCTAATTACCTTCTCTACCAAATACATGTCCTTATACTTGGTCTTTAACAACTCCTCTGTATAGAAGCCTCCCCTGATTATATTGCCATTTTCATCTTTCAAGATATAAGTCACAGGCTTTGTATTCTTAACTTCTGCTATTGTAAATAGTTCCCCTGTCCAATTTGGAGTATAACCTTTACTAAAAACATGTTTATACTTGGAAATCCTTACGCTATCGCCTACCTTATATCTTGGTTTTTTAACTTGCACTACTTTAGAAGTCAACCTCTCATGCACATATTTACTGTTCTTAATACTCACTTGGTTAGGCTTCATTCCTATAGATCTATGCACTTTATTATTATATTTTCGAATTAACTTTGGAAGTAAATCCAACCATTTATAACTCCCCTGAGCACTAAATTCCCTATATAGCCAATTCTTTAAAGTTCTCTGAAACCTCTCTACAATTGCAGCCTTAGTTGTAGAAAAAGTGTGATAGTGATTAATATTTAAGTTTTTCATTAGTTTGCTAAAATATTGATTAAAAAATTCTTTTCCATTGTCAGATTGAATGTTTTTAACCCCCTTTGGTAGAATGGTTTTAATGGCTTCTGTAACCACCAACCCTGTCTTATTCTTTAGTGGAGCAGCATAAGCTTTTTTAGAAAATGTATCTATTAAAGTTAAAATATATTTATTGCCAGAATTTTCTCTAGCATAGTTTTGCATATCAATTAAATCTATTTGTATGGTTTCGTTTATACCCAATACTTTAAAAGACCTTCTAATGAAATTCTTTCTTGCAGGCTTATGAAGTTCGTATGCAATTTCATTCATTTTTTATAACATCATCCTTTCCTGTAACTCTAAATACATCACCATTAGCCCCAATCAATAGATTATCTTCCATTCTTTTAAATACATAGTTTTCTGGTATATACGGTCTATTATCTATATACTTAAATCCACTCAAAGATGTGGGGTCAGCAACTAATAGATCAGGATTATATTCCATCAAATTAAAATTTTTTTCTCCATATACAAATTTTGATCCATCGTAATGCATAGATTGGGACATTAGACAAATATCATCCAAATGTTCCCCCTCTGGTAGATTTCTTATAAACTGTTTTTTGGCATCCCAACATTTTTCTTTTTTATCAAAAGTTATAGTCTGTTCTTTTATAACACAGTCAGTTTCATCAATGGCAGGTTTAACACGTACTAACCTTTTACTATTAAAACTCCAATAGCCTGCTTCCATTTTTGGAACTTGTGAAACATTCACAGCATCTTTACTATCTGTACCTTCCATCAAATTACTAATTTTCTGTTTCTTTGCATTCCAAACACCATTCTCTGATTCTAAAAATTCATAATTATTATCGTCTTGTACAAATTTACCATCTTCTTTTCGTATTAAAGTCTGTTGTAAAGTGGGCACATCATCTAAACTTTCACCCTTTTCTACATTAGTAATTTTCCGTTTCTTAGCATTCCAAATACCATTCTCTGATTCTAAAAATTCATAATTATTATTGTCTTGTACAAATGTACCACCATCTGTTCGTATTAAAGTCTGTTGTAAAGTGGGCACATCATCTAAGCTTTCACCCTTTTCCACATTAGTAATTTTCTGTTTTTTAGCATTCCAATTTTTATTCTTAGATTCTAAAAACTCATATTTAGTTTTACCTTGTAAGAAGACATCACCTTTTCTAGTTAATGTCTGTCCCAAAGTTGATACATCATCTACAAACTCCCCATCTTTAACATTACCAATTTTACAGTTTAAACCATTCCAACTATCGTCTTGTAAATTTAAAGTAGGTTCACTACTAGCCCTGGGTTCTGCAAGCTTATTATATGGATTATATAAACGATAAAATTTATCTATAAACATATTTTTATTTAATAAATAATTCCACTTTCTCTCAATTCCTCAATAATGGAATCTATTTCATTATCCACTCCTGAGTTACCGGCTTGGCGACTTAGCCAAAGAAGTCTTAACCTATCTACAAGCTCATTAGGATCATCCCAATAAATATAGTCTATTTTATTACCAGTCACTTGTCTCAAACCTTCACCAACAGATTTAAAAAGAGGTTTAATTATATTAAGATATTTAGTATGTCTATTGCTTGAAATTGGTGCACCATCTTTGTAACTCTTTAAATGTCCATTTGTAGCTTCCAAAATTTCTTTATAATTTTGCAAATCAGCCGGAGTATAATCCTCAGGTTCTTTTAAAGTTAACAATTGCCACAAACCTTTTGTCCCCTTGTAGGTTTTATTTGCAATTGTAACATCATCATTGGCAATGTCAACTTCCTTATTTCCAATAAAAAATTTATTTGCTTCTCGTCTAATACCATATGTAGTGTCTGTCATACTACTTTTACTGAGGTAATTTCCTAAATAGTCTGATGCTAAAAGACCAAAATCTAATTTCTGTGGGGTGGATTGCTGTAATGGTTGCAATCTTGGTATTATTGGTATTCTAGATGGAGTCATTGGGAGAATCTCCATTCGAGGCCTCTCTGTTTTGGCAATTTTTTTTAATTCTTGTAATGGCTCTATTAAAGGTTGGAATGTTTGAAACCTCTCTTCAGCCTCTAGAAACCTGCCACGTTTTAAAGCTCTATATTTCTGTCGTATTTGATTTGCAGAGTCAACCAATTCTTGTTGAACGTTTTTCATCTTTTATTTACATTTTATTTATCTCATTTGACAAAGGATTGTACTCAAACACTTTATCATGTATTATCAAACAATATGCAGATGTATTTGCTGGTACATTTTCTGCAGTTTCAATCTCTAATTTAATATCAACAATTCCTTCCTTCACTGTTTCGTTCTGTCTAGAACAGTCTATTACAATTAGTGGATATTTCTTCATAAACTCAGCCCTACTAATCATAGGATCTGGGATAGTATTAAAGTAAGTCTCTCTAAACCTCATAAACATCTCATAAGCTTTAGAGACATCTCCATTTTCAAAGTCGAGATTTAAATCACTATAAGGATAATATTCAGAGTTTAGAAATACTTTGATATTTTTTAACTTACAGTGATCAAATTCATCAGTTCTTTTTCGTGCACTATTATCCCTAGCTGTTTGGAAACCAAATATAATATACCTAGGCTTCTCCAAACTTGAAGATGTCTTTACTGACCATGTATGTCTTGTAGTATTGGGATATGATGGAAGTTCATGCAACTCTAAGCTTCTAAATGCAATTTGCAAATTTTTATTTTGCAGTAACATCTTTTGTAATTGTAACTTCTCCCCATCTGATGGTATTACATGTGGCATCACCCATTGAATTGAGTTAAGTGTAATTTTGGGAATTGCATCAGCAGTACCACTGGCTGGAGCACTAGTGGTTGTTAATATACAATTCAAATCATTTTTGGATCTTTTCAACACCAATTCTTGTTTGACATTTACTAATACCTTATTAAAATCCTCAAATACACCCATTAACAGTTCTAATGGCAAACAAGTACTAAACTTGCCACTTTTATGGAACTCTTTTAAATTCGTGTCAGAATCAAATGCCACATTTGACAATTTAGTTGTTTTATTGTAAGAGCTCAATATTTTCATAAGACTAGAAATTCCTGGGTTTCTTACAATGTCTATTTCTTTACCTGCGACTTCATATCTA